GATGAAGGAAGCGTGGAGGGGATTTATTTATCTAATGGCAGAATGATGTTAGGCTCGAGAATAGCGCTGTTTCTAAAGAACCCATAGAAGAGAGAACAGAAAGAGTCTAATGACTGCAAGATTTGTGCGGGAAAATTAGGCGCACGCTTTGTATTTTTCTATTAAGTGACTTTTTCTGACTAATTTATGCGCAACCAGCAACGATAACGACGCGGAACGAGTCGATTCCTGACGTTTTTTTTGACGCGATTGAGTGTTTTCAGGCTAAAACGGGTGTGTGTGTATTGTGGCTCGATGGACCGGAAACAACAGCTTAGAGTTTTGGAATTGGACCCGGATCTGCGTTTCGTGAGGGGACAAGCGTCACAACAGTCAAGCGCCGGGCCAACCGCTGGATCTCCAGCTACGTCGCGTTCGAACAAACTGCTGATGGAAATGCAAGAGCAGAAGGAATCGACCGCTCCCGCAACGCCGCTCACACATTTTCTGTACAGAGAGGAGGAGAAAGTGCCGATGTTCCTCGTCAAAATGTGGAATATCCTCGAGGACCCGAAATTTCAAAATATTATTCGATGGGACAAGGTTATTTCCTACGAGATTTTCTATACTCATTTGTTTCGGGCAGCACAGGTTACGTTAAATAACTCTTTGTAGAGGGCATAGCTTTCTTTAGTTTTCATTATGAGCAGCGTTTATTGAATGAAAGAGATACTGCGCATCAGCAATTGGGCCTGAAAATCAAAATGTTTGAGGACGGAGATGATGTGGATTGCTGCTCATAGTCGGATTGCCGCTAGCAGGCAGCACTGACTTGGAAGAAGTTGACAGTTATGTCTGTTTTGACTTGAATCTAAATTTTGCATCACAGTATCCAGCCGAGGGTTTCAAACAGCAGGGACTATCAGTTGATGCAAATCACATACCATGCCGGCATTTTGGAAATGTCGTACAGAAAGATTCGTACTCACCTCTTCAGCAATAGTGTGCAACATGTATTATCACTTGGACTAAAATTTTTCGTGAAGTTGTAGCAGAGTTGCTTCATTTCCTTGTCCACTCATCACAGTCAATGTCCGCTTCCCTGCTTTTGTCAGTGACACGTTTTGCATCCTTACATCATTGCCTTCAGTATGGTGGTTTGACAGATTTAAAACATAGTAGGCGTCTGAAGGGGAAAGAGGGTTGGCAATGCATGAGCACACTTTTGGGTGTCGGATTCGAGACGCGGGGAGGGAGTTGTGATGGGGATGAGGGGAGAGGGATGGTGTATGCGGGTTTCGTGCGCAAAGGTTTCAGTAGGGGTAGCGAGTTGCGTGGTTACGATGGAATATGACTGCTAATTCCAGATTTATAGCCGTTCACGTGATCAAAAACTTTTTCCACTAAATTAATGCATAGTAGGTCAAGAACTGTTTTATCCGTGAACATATTGTTTGTGTACTCGAAAACTGGATGGCGTTTCAGAGCGGCTACAGCTTCCATATTCTCGATCCACAGGCATTTTGTCGAGTGGTTTTGCCGCAGTATTTCAAGCACAATAATCTGAACAGTCTTGTACGTCAACTGAACATGTGTAAGAAATATTTTTTCTTGGCGCTTTTGCAGAACTGAGCTGGCAAATGTCCGTTTCAGGGAGTTACACACGATATTTACGTCATTTGTGGTTCCCCATGGAGGGCTGATTCAGAGTGGTCTTTAATACAAAAACCCCTTTGTATTAACTTTTTAGAAAAAGCTGAGACACTCAAAATTAGCCCGAGTGACAGCACACATGGAAATTTTCTTATATATGTTTTATATATACGTACACATGTAGGATAAATTGAAAGGGCAAGAAGGGGGTAAATTTAAACCCGCGCTAGAACGCACCAGGCGAACCGGTACGATCATGCACTTTTGCACTATTTCGTGCTGTAGCAGGATCGAGGAAGTTAGTGTGGCACGTCAGTTGCAGATGTCGACTTCAGTAACCCGACAAATGGAAACTTGCTGGTGC